TTCCAGTTGCTCCTCTTCTCTGTAAAAGAGGTGAACTTTTGAGACCATGCATGTCTGAAAATGTCTTTAATTATCAAGTGTGAGAACAGAGTGGTTTGACTGGGCACAGACTGTATAGGTTGTCTATAATTTTTCTTCAGAAATTTGAAGGAATCACGCTAGTCCTCTTGTTTCATAATTGCTTTTGGAAGTCTGAAGCCATTCTAATTATTAATCCTTTACCTGACCTGATTTTCTCACCCTGGGAAGCTTGTAAAAGCATTCTTGTCCCTCCCTGTTTGAAATTCATTATGATAATTCACTATGAAATACCTTGCTGTGGACTCAGGACTTGTGTTGAGCATTCTGTGGGCCCTTTGAACCTGGCCACTCATGTCCTTAACTTCTGGGAAGTGATTTTATTAATGGTATCTTCTCTCTGTTTCTGTGTATGTGTATGTTGAGGGGTGGTATCGGGTGGTGGATGCACAGACATGGGAATTGGGGGAGACTCAGTTTCTCTTTATTTTCATAAAAAGGAACCACCAAATATTGGTATTTGGACTTTTATTAGCAGAAGTAAGTGCATCTTAAGAGGAACTCATTGCATGTGTCTGGATTGGAGTGGCGCTTGGAATAGCTACTCTCACAGCTGCGCTCTTAGCCCTACTTTTCTCTGCAGTCATTCCCCGTGAACATTGTGCTTATATTGCATTGTATCTTATCAACTTCCTTCTCTTATGGACCTGACCGGTATCTTGCCTACCATTCAGGACATTTCTGTGTCTCTTCTAAGTCAAGTTTAAGCTCACAAAGCTGATCAACAAACATGACTCAAAAGAGGGAAAATGTTGGCATCTTCCTTTCGCATATTAAAGTATCTCATGTCACTTATTTTTTCCAGTGACTGAGTTACATGAGTAGAAGGAATTATAAAGGTCTTCAGGAAATCTTGAAAATTTCAAACAATTTTGCTCTGTTAATAAAAACTTGTAGACTTTAAAATTGTTTTTTTCCCCAGGACTTTGAGGACATTAGTGGTTGCTTCATTGTTCTAATTGGAACTGTTGATTTGAGTCAGATTTTTAATTTAATTTTATTATTATTATTTTTTTATTCAGGTCAAACCAGCTTTTAATTGTTTGTACATATTTTATAGAAATGTGTGACCTAGGACAAGTTAAATAACCACTTGTTCAACACTGTATTATTTAGGGTGATGCTAGTAGTTGACCACCAAATTTAAAATCTCAGGTTTATTTTTCATTATTTAATCCTTCATTAATTTATTGGGGTGATACTGGTTAACAGAATTATACAGTTTCAGGTGCACAATTCTACAACATGTCATCTGAGGGAGGGGATAGGAGGAGGTGGAGATTTTTAATTTTAAAGGTTAATCCAATGATACTCATTCTATTTAAAATTAGCAATGTGGTTTTTTAATTTACTTAGAATTTCATTATGTTCTCCAAGAGTAATTGTTAATGTGAAATCTGATAGAAAGTTATGGTTTTACCAGAGATGACCAACAAAAAATTTTTTTAAACCTCATCTAAGGATATGTTTTTATTGCTTTTGGAGGTGGGGGGGAGAGAGAGAAACATTGATTGGTTGCCTCTCTGCACCCAGATCAAACCCTCAACCTAGGTATGTGCTCTGACCGGGAATTGAATCTGCAGCCTTTTTGGTAGATGGGATGACACTCTATCCAACTGAGCTACCTGACCAAAGTGACCGATATAAATTTTTATAGTCCTGCTTTGTTTATTGAAAATGACAAAACATTGCAGAATGAAGTTAGGAAAAGTTTTTCTTACTGCAGTTCCCAGTCCCCTGCCTCTTGTTCACTTAGCTGTCTACCATTCTCAACCTGTTAATTTTTTTTTTTTTTTGCGAATACTATATTATAAAAATTTTCAAATATACAGAAAAGTTAAAAGAGTTCTATGAATATGCATATACTTACTATCTGGATTCTGCTGTTAGTGTTTTATTATACTTTACCACCTGTCTATCCCCTATATTCATTCCTCCTTCTGTCCATTATTTCATTTTTGGGGATGCATTTGAAAATAAGCAGCAGGTAACAGTACACTTCAGCCCTCAATATTTCAGTATGTGCATCATTGACCCAAGTTCAATATTTGTGTAGAGGTCTTCTTTTGAAGTAAAAATTACATAGAAAAGTATGCATAGATGTTAAGTGTACCATTAAATGGCCCCTCCCTCTTCTATTTTCTCAGTCAAGTGTTCTAATAAGGTGACTAACACCCAATATAAAGCCATTCTCCCAAAGTTGTGTATTCATTTAGACTTGCAAAAATATACTTTGGATACCACAATGAATCTTAAATGTTTTTTATTTTTTATTTTATTATGTAAATATGCTGTATAGTATAATGATTATACTGTAGGCATTTTTATTTTTTAAAGGCTTTTTTTCTTCCAGATTGCTCCAGACTTCAGCAAAACTTCTTATCATGGCAAATGATATCATAGAATGCATGCTGGAAGAAATAGCTTGAGGATATTTCTGTTTAGTTAAAAGGACAAAATTGTGAAGAAAGGCAAGGATTGCCCTTTTGCCAACTTCATAAGTTAAATACGTAAAAGAGTTAGTTAATTCAAGACACTTTTAAACATTTATGGAGTGCTTTCTAGGTTTCTTAAACGGCTGTGTTTATCCTAACTCCTTTGAGCCTCACGTTAACCCTGTGAAATGGCTGGGACAGGTGTTGCTGCTCTGTAGATGAGGAGCCAAGGCAGAGCCCGAGGCAGGGCCACGCAGCGGCTGCTCACGCAGTCCGATGGACTCCGATGCTCTCACCTGAAATCCCGTCCGATGGGAACAACTGTAGTCACACTAAGTCTTTAGTTCAGGTGCCATTCCAGATACTGTGAATTGCTTATGAATAACTACCACGTGTTTTATTGTGCAGACCAGTGTTATCTGTAATGACAACTCTGATGCAAAGACTTATCGTGCCAGTGTTTTGAGTTCTCCATGATGAAATACTTATTATAGGGGAACTGCAACTATCAGTATCCAGACACTACTCAGTGTGCTGTATTTAGAATGTGACATACTGACATTACATACACATTCTGTTCTCACAAAAGGGAACAATCTCATAATTGAAGTGCCGCTTACTGTGGCAAAATGCCTGTTTTTCAGAAATGTGTCATATGAGAAGCTCACTGGGGAAGAGAAAGCTTTATTGATGTGTCTGTTTTGGAAGGTTTATATTTTGCGACGTTCTGTAGATACTTCTCTTCTTTCCCTTGGATAGACCAATACTTAATGACAAAATCATCTGGCGAAAATCAACTTGACATTGTTCAGGTAAAGGACTTGACAAAATGCAGGCAGTTTTGTTCTTGTCATTATAAAGGTTTAGCTCTTGGTTTGGTCAATACCACTAAGGAGAGGCTGGACGAGGATAACATGGCTCCTGAAGAAAAGTGTTCTTTAGGAAACCTCCTTGGGCTAGAAACTTACTGAAAGTCCTTTTAGGATCGGAAACTGGAAATAATATATTTGAGTCTGCATCCTTATTTTTGTCATTTTGTTGAAAAGCAGTTTTCCACTGGCTATGCCAGGATTCTTATTTCTTTTAAGGTTTTTCCCTATCACTGTTCTGGAGTTATTAGAAGATAGATTGCATAGGAGCTGAAAACCTTTTTGGATATTTGCCTACAGAGTATAAATAATATAATTCTTTCAAAAGCACTAGATTGTTTATTGAAACAGGTCATGGTTGGTGTGCCTCTTGTGCAGTTGAAAAAGTTGACAGGACCTGGCCAATTAGTCACATAAACACTTAGGTACTCTCTGTGGATAGGACAAGGAAGACAGACAGGAACTTGGTCTCTTTTCCTGTTTATCCTCTGCCTCTGTCTCCCTTTTTTTGTCATCTTATTTTCTGGACTGGTTAGCCTGAAGCTTGTTGAAACTGTTGTTTTGAGACATTTTTAAGAAAAGATAATTCTTTATGTAAATATGTATGCAAGGAATATCCTGGCAGGTCTAAGGTCTAAGGCAGTGTTAGTTGAGAAAGAAGTAAAATGGATTCTGGGGAAAGAGGAGAAAGAAATATACTCAGAAGAGTACCTACTACCAGCAGTGGCTTCAGATAGAGTGTCTCAGCCAAATAGTATATTGTGCCTAATTTGGGTGTGAAACACCTTGGGGTCAGTTTATTCTTAGAGCCTTAGATTTGAATGTTTTTATTTATTTTTTAAATGCATATATCTTTTCCCAGTGCTATTGAAATTTTAGAGAATCAAGAAGGAAGGAAAATGCATCCATAATCCTATCTTCCTAACAAAACTACTGTTTCATATACTTCCAGCCAAATCTTTTCTTTTTCTCTTGTAATTATTTTTATGTGTCTAGAATTAGAAAATGCCTATGTTTTTGTCTCCTGCTTCTGTGAAATGTCTTTCATTGTGTCCTTGGAAAGCTGGCTGAAGGACAATTACTGGATGATACCACAGTATGTTAGCTTGTCACTGTAGTGTGAAAAGGAACTTTGTATTGCATGCTGCTTTTTTCTCAATAGGTGACTAATATTTGTACACTGTTACTATTAAGTAAGTGATGAATGATCTTTAAAATTATGCTGAGGATGAGAAAGATGGGAGACTAATGAGAAAATTGTTCTGTGCTTTTCAGAAATTATCTTGATTTGTAACTTGGATTTATCAGCTACTGTTTCTGGACATTCATTTTTTTTCTTTTTGTCTTTTTCCATTTAAGTGAGTCCATTTCTTACTTATATTCAGATATGTTTCCTATAGCAGAGAAATACACTCATCAATCTTCATTCTGATGGACAAACATTATAAGCTAGTCCTATGGGAAATAAGAAATGGTGCCAGAAAAGTGAGAATGGCTGGAATTTTCATTGGAGAAAACTTTTTTGGAAGAGTAGATTGATTGATTTTGTTTTATTTTGCCTGAATCGAGTAAATTTTGTACATTAAAGGCACTAAATTATTGTTTCTTTTTATTTCAGGGCTGAAAATAGACTGAAATCATTTTTCAGAGTTAAAAGAAGATCAAGAAGACAAGATGGGGACTCCTGGCTCTGGAAGGAAAAGAACGCCTGTGAAAGACCGATTTTCTGCAGAAGATGAAGCTTTGAGTAACATTGCCAGAGAGGTGTGTATGGAAAACCCCCTCTCAACACTGACATGTACAGATGAGAATGTTGTAAAAATGCTGGGGTAAGAGCGGGCATTCATTCGCTGTGTTGGCTTCAGAATGTTTACTTCTAAATATTTGACTTCTAAAATATTGTATTAGAATAAAATACAGTTACTGTCTCTTGGATATCTGTTCACTCATTTCAAATTAATTTTTCATTTTATTTTTGTGGATTACTTGAGTTCCAGGTATTTGTCCTCATATATTGAAATTTATAATTAGTCTTCAGCATTGAAATTTAAGGTACTTAGGATCATGAAGATATGATAGCCACATTATAATGCTCAGTGGGCTATATACAGTTAATATATTCCAAGAGACACTGTGTAAATGGTGACAGAAACAGTCCTTATTTGGTATCTGCTTAGATTCAGTGTCTTAGCTGTTTTTTAAAATATTGCAATGGAATTTTTATGTTTAACTTTTAGCTAGTAAAAGGCCTTTTGGAGCATTTTTCTTTAGTTTGTTGACAACTCAGAAAAAAAAAGGAAAGGGGTGCTACCTGTTGAATCACTGGCAGCATTTCCTGTTGTACATTGGAAATTTAAGATAACTCCTAGCAGTGATTTCTTAGTGAGGTGCCAACTTTGTTTCAGGCTCTATCTGTAGCTGCAGACCTGACCATAAAATAATCTGATACAAGAATTGCTTAGAGCACTGTATTATTAAATCTTTTTATTTTTGTGAAAATTATTCCCTCATCACTTCCTCTTTGTTATTCTTAGTAAATAATTCATTTAGAACTAGTGCTGTTTCCTTTTGACATATTACACAGTCTTTTCTGGCCCAGCTCATTGTGACATTTTTCCTCTTGTAACCTACTCAGTTAGCTTTTGAATTAGAAGTCAAATTTTGTAGGAGGATATTTGAGGCAAAGAAAAGTAATCTAAAAACTGATGACAAAACTTATATTACTTTAACAAAATTCAAACAGTGAGATATTTTTAGATAAAAAGGTAAAGGATATTTAAAAATGAAATAAAATAGCTATTACTGTGCAACAGTTTTAAGTATTTGCATGAATGAAGTGTTTTGGAAGCCATGTAGTTTTTAGTTGAAAATTGAAACTACTCAAAATGTTTACTTCCAAAATTGGAGGGATATACCCAGATTTCTGTAAGGAGAGAAAATACTAGTATCTTCTAGGCTATTTTTGTACTGTCATTAAATATTTGAATTCCTTTTTAGGGTATGTTGCTTCATTTACAAAATTGCATAGCATTCTAACATCCAACACTTAAGTACTTACTATGTGACAAACACTATTTTAAGTATTTAAAATGCATTAATTAATTTAATCCTCACACAATTCTGAGATTGGTTTTATTATTATCTTCATTTTACAGATGAAGAAACAATTGCACAGAAAAGTTAGGCAACTTCCCTAAGGTCACATAGCTAGGAAATAGCAGAGCGTAGATTCAGACAAATGAACTCTGGCTTCAAACACTGAGCATTAAACCACTCACTCTGCTATGCTGTTTCTGAATCTTTCCAACTCCTTCATTAATAGCTTGTTTTTCTGTAACTTTTCATGGTTTTGAAAGAACTTTCATATCTTGGTTCTCATAATAACCTTATGAGGTAGAATAGGTATTATTATTAGTCATATTTACAGATGAGGAAACAGATGAGGCTGAGAGAGAAATGTCAGAAATGTTGTTTCCATATCTTGGCTATTTTAAGTAATGCTGCAATGAATATAGGGGTATAGATATCTAATCGAGTTAGTGTTTTGTTTCCATCAGTTAAATACTCAGAAATGAAATTGCTGGACCACATGGGAATTCTGTTATGTTTTCTTTTCTTTCATTCACTCATTCTCCTTCCTCACTCGAGGATATATTTTTATTGATTTTAGAGAGAGGGTGTGGGGGAGAGAGAAGAAGAAGAAGGAGGGGGGGAAGAGAGAGAGAGAGAGAGAGAGAGAGAGAGGGAGAGAGAGAGAATGATGTGAGAGGGAAACACCAATCAGTTGCCTTCCATATGCACCCAGACTGAGGATCAAACCTGCAGCCTAAATATATGCCCTTACCAGGAATCGAACCTGCAGCCTTTTGATATACCAGGTAATGCTTCAACCAACTGAGCTACCTGGCCAGAGAGTTCTGTTTTTAATTATTTGAGGAACCTGTGTATTGTTTTCTATAGTGGCTGCACCAATTTTTATCTCTACCAGTTGTTCACAATAGTTCTCTTTTCTCCATGTCCTTGCCACCACCTGTTATTTCTTGTCGTCTTGATGATGGCCATTCTAAAAGATGTGAAGTGATATCTCATTGTGGTATTGATTTGCATTTTCCTGATGAGTAGTGATGTTGAACACCTTTTCATATATCTGTTGGCCATTAGTATGTCTTCTTTGGAAAAATGTTTATTCAGATCCTTTGCCCAATTTTTAATTGGATTGTTTGTTTTTTGAGTTGTATGAGTTCTTTATATATTTTGGATGTTAGCCACTTATCAGATACATGATTTGCAAATATTTTCTCCCATTCCATAGGTTGTCTTTTCATTTTGTTGGTGGTTTCCTTTGCTGTGCAGAAGCTTTTTTGTTTGATGTAGTCCACTTTTTTGATTTTGCTTTTGTTGCCTTTGCTTTTGGTGCCAAACCAAAAAAATCATCACCAAGTTTGATAGCAAGGAGCTTACTGCTTTTATTTTCTTCTAGGAATTTTATGGTTTTAGGTCTTGCATTTAAGTCTTTAATCCATTTTGAGTTGATTTTTGTGTATGGTGTAAGATAATGGTTGGATTTTATTCTTTTGCATGTTGCTATCCTGTTTTCCCAACACAATTTATTAAAGTGACTGTTCTTTACCCATTGTGTATTCTTGGCTTCTTGTTGTAAATTAATTGACCATATACCAGGTGAGGCAAAAGTAGGTTTACATCTGTGAGTAAGTGAAATGCAGAGTTTATTCTTGTATTATTATTTGTTAATTATTGTATTCTTTTCCATATGAACAACCGTAAACCTACTTTTGCCCTACCCTGTATGTGTGTACTTATTTCTGGGCCCTCTGTTCTGTTGATTTATGTGTCTCTTTTTATGCCAGTACTAAACTGTTTTATTTAGTACAACTTTGTAATATAGTTAAAAATCAGGGAACATGATACCTCTAACTTTGTTGTTCTTTTTCAAGATGGCTTTGGCTATTTGGGGTCTTTTGTGTTTCCATACAAATTTTAGAATGGTTTGTTCTATTTCTGTGAAAAATGCCATTGGTACTTTAGTAGAATTTGCATTGAATCTTAGGATTGCTTTGGGTAGTACAGATGTTTTAGCAATATTAGTTCTTTCAGTCCATAACATGAAATATCTTTCCATTTATTTGTGTCTTCAATTTCTTGTATCAGTGTCTGTCTTACAGTTTTCAATGTATAAGTCTTTCACTTCCTTGTTTAAATTTATCCCTAGGTATTTTATTCTTTTTCAATGTACGTATAAATGGGATTGTTTTCTTAATTTCTCTTCCTGATAGTTTATTACTATGTAGAAACTCACTTAATTGCCCATTCATACATTGGATGCTTGGCATTCACATATAGTCCCTAATCCTTATTTTCTATAGTAGGATCATCTCTTACAAAAAACAATTGCTTTAATTTAGAAATAACAAAAACTAACACAATCCACATAACAATTTAAAAAGACAAAGAGCTTATTCTTTTTTTAAGTTAATTTTTTTCTCTTTTCTAATTTATCTTTTCTCACTTCAGATTGTTTTTTGAAGTAGACAAGGAATGCCATGAGTAAATAAAGAAAAGTAACCTCTTTTTTCTCCTACTTCCTATCTGCTCAGGTTTCCATGCTTCTCAGTTGGTCCCAAATCAGGCAGCTAGAGGGAATGAGGAGGAAAAGAAACAAAAGGCATGAATATGTTCCTCAAACTCGATAGTTTGCACACTAAAGTATGGAACTGGGTGCATTTTTAAAAACTGTGGTGAAGATCACAGCATGAATTTACCATTAACCATTTTCAAGTGTACAATTCTGTGGCCTTTAGTACATTCACACTGTTATGCAACCATCTTCACCATGGTCTCCAAAGCTCTTTTCATTTTGTAGAACCTGAGTGCATTTTTAAAAGATGTTGAAAATTTGAAGACTGCTCAGTGAAGGCAGGGATATGGATGGACTTAGAAATCACGTCATGTCTGTGAGAGGCAGGTTGCTGCTTTGCTGGAGAAGGAAGGGCTGTTGCGGGTCTCAGAAGAGCTCAGAGGAGCAGGTGTTGGAAGGAGTTACCGACAAGTCCTCCAGGCAGGGGTGGCCAACCGGTGACCCGCGGGCCGCACGCGGCCTGGATACAGCCCAACACCAGATCATAAATTTACTTTAAACATTATGAGACTTTTGTGTGTGTGTGAATAATCGTCGCAGTATATTTAATATGTGGACCAAGACAACTCGTCTTCCTCCGTGTGGCACAGAGACCACATCTCGATGCTTACCTTTCTTGCTCTCTTGGCTTTGTTTGTTCCACAGGTTTGGGGGAGATGCAGTTGGAGAGTTGACTTTTAGTGGTATATCGGACTGGGGAGCCTTAGGCAACTAATGTAAAAGTTGGGCAGTGAAGAAGGTTGATAGGAAAAATAGCGACTCATGGAAGTACCATGTTGTAATAGAGCTCTCTGTATACCCTGGATCACCAGAAAGACAAACAAGTGTGTTCTAGAACAAATTAAGTCTGAAATATCACTGGAGGCAAAAATAACAAAAATGAAGCTGTTTTACTTCGGGCACTTCATGAGAAAGCAGGGTTCTCTGGAAAAGACAATGATATTGGGAAAAATAGAAGGCAGCAGAAGAGGGAGAAAAATAGAAGATGGATTGACTCCATAAAAGAAGCCATAGGCATGAGTCTGTAGACGCCGAACTGGGCTTTTAAGAACAGGACATTGTGGACATAACGCATTTGTAGGGTCTCCAGGACTTGGAGCTGACTCAG